CAATAAAAAATATTTTTTACTATCCCCGAATCTTGACCCGTTTGACCCGGGTTAGAGCAATTTCTGACCCGTGACCCGGGCCGGAACACTAATATTTATAAATAGTATTATATATTATTAAATATAAATCTGAAATAAAATTTTTTAACTTTATTAATTAATTATAGTATATAATTTTTTTTTAAATTGTAATTATATAATTTATTTTTTTGAATCTAATAATTTTTTTATAAATATATATTATATAGGATTTTATAATTTATCGTCATGGTGACGTATCGCTACCCCTGATCAACCAATTAGAGTGCAGGATTAGGTGTAATATGAAATCGAAGCAATTACGATTTTTTTTCAAAAATCGGCTATAGCAAGAAATTTTGTCTATGAAACTATTTCTCGAGCTTTAACAAAAAAAATTCTCCTCGAAATTTTGGGTAGAATCATTTTGCTAAAGCACTCTACTCTAACCCTAACCTAAACCTAACCTAACTTTCACCCTAACCTTAAACTAACGAATTAATTTTATTGTTTTGATTTTACATTACACTAGATCTTATAGAGTGCGATACATCGTATATGCGAAAAAATAAAAAATTCTATTATATATATTAAATTAAAAAAAAAAAGATTAAATAAAATTTGAAATATTAAATATTAATTTTATTTTACAATATTTATTTATTTTTTAAAACTAATAGTTTTTTTTTTTGTAAATTTTAAATTAAGTTAAAAGAATAAATCTAGAATATATTTTATCTTTTTTTTTTTTTATTAAAGTTTAAAAATTAATATTTCTAAGATTTGTTGAATGATTTTCTGGTAAGCAATATTAATATTTAGGTTATAAATGAAAGCTTTGAGGAATTTATGATAAGAATATTTTCATAGCAAGTTTAACTCTCTGAAAATTTACATAAAGTATTAATAATCGGTTCGGATTCATGTACGTAGGTAGTACTGTAACATCAATATTACTGCATTAAGTTTGCATAATAAGGTAGCTGCGCAACTATATTAACCAGGAACGGATGAACCAGTAAATTAAATTATCTGAAATTTTTCTGTAATTCGATTTCGTCATTCAAGAAAAGACGGAACTAGGTTTCATGTTCCGTCTTACAAGTATATTTCGGATTTGGTAAAATGATTTTAGAGCAAATTTAATTATAAATAAAATAATTAATTATAAAATAATTAATAATTAATAATAAATAAAATAATTATTTATAAATAATGTATACTACAAAATAATTAATAATAAATAAAATAATTAATTATAAATAATATATACTACAATTTTTACAATAATTAAGTCTTATAGCAATCAAAATTTTATAAAAATATAATTAGTTTTATAAACATTGTATAAAAACTTATAATCTAATCTTAGTATAAAGGTTTGGATCAAGTTTTATGCCAGGAGATATCCACACATCGTTATTATCTATGTTAATACGAAGTTCTTGATTAGAATAAATAATACACCAATTTAATGTATAATCGGATAATTGAAAAAGACTATCGTTTTGAGATAATGAATTATCAGAAAGTTTTAAAGTTATATTGTATTCTGACCAAGATTCAATAACTATTTCAAAAGATGGTTCATTATTGGTAGGTGGATAATCCAGAAAAGTCATTATAGTGCAATATTGAGACAAAGGATCTTTGAGATTGGTTATTTTTATGGTAGGTTCTTCAATCTTTGTTTCACCAGTTTTAATTTTAATGTTTCTTGCATGTTTACTATAATAACCAACCAATGATGGTTTTCCTACCAGCATCCAATAAACAGTAAAAGGCCTAAATAATGGAAATAAAAAACTGAGTTATAATAGTATTAACATAAGAGGAGTTCTAAAGGAATATTTTTGCTTACGCATTTTGGTGATAATTATTAGGAATCTCAATAAATTCAGAAAATCCATGAAAATCTTTTGACCGAAATTTAATATCAAAGTTCGATCTATCTCCATTTCCTTGAAAAATGGATCCATAAACTTTATATTTATCACTTTCTAAAGATTGCTCAAATTTTATCCGAATATATTTAATATTAGAGTTATTGAAACGATTTACACCTATCATTAACACATTTGAAATTTCCAAATTCTTAATCAAGCCTTCAATTTGTTCTTGAATATTATTATCAAGAATTTGATACATAGGAATAAATGTTTTTCTTTTTATTATTTGCCATTTAGTAACATTTTTAGAATTATTTTCAATCCATGATTCAATGTCATTCTTATTTACCGGTATTATTTGACCATCAGCATTAAAAAAATAAGTTAAATCAAATGATTCATTAGATTTTTCTAATTCATTTAATATTTCAATACATTTTTCATTAGTTTCCCATCTAAAAGTTTTTTCTGGCCTTTTTGAATTACGTCGATCATTTTCAATATAAGGATAAGAATGTATTCTACTTAATTTTCCACCAATAGTCATATCTATACAAATCACGTGACCAAATTCATTAAAAACTTCATGAAGTGCTTTATATGGATTATTCTGTGTTAATGCATTATTTACATCGTTTGATAATTCTGTTGTTGGAAAAATATCATTTTCGT